TATCCGTCCGTAATCAGCATCATTACCATTCTCCTCATCATTATCTAGGGTTTATTGTTCTCCCGTCCCAGCCTCAGCTGCAAAATGAGAGCTTTGAACGAGCTGGGCTAGATCCCCTCCAACTCTGAGCGACCACCTCAAACACACACGCACACGCACGCACACACACACGTGCTGCCCAAGGAGGCCAAGCAAGGGGCCCCAAGCCCACAAAGCCACAGTGACAAGCCTGGGCACCCTCAGGGTCAAGTTCAGGTGGCAGGGAGAGTGCCATGGTGGCTGAAAGGGGAGAGGGCAGGGAGTGAGGGGGAGATGGGGAGTGGCCAGAAGGAACTGCAGGCCGTGGGGAGACCTCAGGCCTTGAGTGCAGGCCCAGAGCCACCCCCCACCCCCCGTAGGCCTGGAAGCAGTGCTCCATAAAACCTAATGGATGTTTCAAGTGTCACCAGTAAGGGAAGGTCTGGGAGACAGAGAGAGCTTTCCTCCCTCCCAGGAACCAGGGCTGAGACATGGTGGCGGAGTGAGCAGGCCACCGGGAGCCTCGGGGACCTGGCTGGGAAGACAGGGCGTAGGCTGCACCTGAGTGGAGGAGGGGAGGACCATGACAGCAGCATGGCTTTCCCTGTGACCTGGGGCTCTTCCCCTCCCCAGCCCCATGCCCAGTGCGTTGATAAGAGCAGGCAGCAAAGCCCTCTGCCACGGTAGCTTGGCCTCCCGGGAGGCTGGCGCGCACGTCCCTTCCCCCAGCACCAGCTTGTACGGCCGCAGGAAGGAGGACAGCGGGGCGGTCCCTGCAGTCTCACGTCCACCCCTGCTGAGGTGTCAAGCTCTGGGGAGAGGCAAGGCTTTGGGTCAGAGGCTAGGTCTGTAGAGGAGGCTCCTCCCTGAGAAGAGGGATTCAACGCCTGAGGTCCCTCGAGAGACTGTGGCCACGACACAGCCGGCAGGCAGGCTCGGCGCTCTGCCCAGGGGCAGCGAGTGGGTTCCGGGGGTGGAGGGGGAAAGGGTCACCTGATCGCTGGTGCCAGCCGCCTGGCTCTCCAGAAACGGGGGCGCCTGCTGTCAGGGGAAGGAGAGCAGTGGAAGGGGCCTTCCTTCCCCTTCACGCTCTTCTCCCCTCGGATTGCACGCGGGAGCTATCTCCGCCATCCGCCCACAGCCTATAATTCAGCCGCCCAGCTGCACCGAGGGCTTGACTGCTCCCACTGGGGGGAGGGCAGATTACGGGGTGAGTGAGGCGACTGGCAGGTGCCCTGCGGGTCCAGCTGCCCGGGTAGCCGAGGCGGGCTCCGCATGACGCTGTGCTGCCCCTGAACCCCAGGCCTGCCGTGAGGCTCCCTCCAGGAACGCTCACTCTCCCCCTTTACCATCATCCTTTCCATCCAGGCGTCTGTAACTGCAGTGTGCAGACGAATCCTCTGGGGTCAGGTGAGAATTCAGATCCTGACTCAGCAGATCTGAGAGGACCCAAGATTCTGCTCTTCTAACGGTTCCCATGCTGCTGAGGCTGCTGATCCAGAGACTATGCATGGAGGAAATCTTTAGAGTTGACATAGCTATTTTATATATATATATATATAAATCTCAATCTCTCTGGGCGCTGGCAACAGCCCTGTGGAAAGGTGGCGAATAATAACAATAATTGCTATCACTCTCAATACCTCTAATGCGAGGTACGTGCTCAGCACTTCATAAATCTTATCTCATTCAATCCTCACAGCATCTGAGTGAAAGAGCTCTTTTTCAGAATTTACAGATGAGAAAAAATCCTGACATTCTGAACTAACTCAGTTACTTGCCCAGGGTCATGAACCTAATGGGTGGTAGAATTAGAATTCAAGCTCCTGTCTTCTACGGCAGCCCCCTCCTCTAGCCACATATAAAGTTAGCAAGGACGAGCCTCTTTAGGGAGTAACAGTCAAGGGTAAAAGCTCTGGAGTGAGAGAGCGTGCTTGACTACAGTAGAAGCCCCAAGAGCACGGAGTCTGGGGCCAGACTGCTTAGATTTGAATCCTAGCTTTGTCACTTGCTAGCTTAGTGATCTTAGACAACATAATTAACCTCCCTATGCTTTAGTTTCTTCAACTGCGAAGTGGCAATGATAATACTAGGGCTATTATAAGGATTATATACACCAGGAGGTCTCATTGTACATACATATCTCATAATATAATCTTTATAATAACCCTCGTATTACCTATCAATCTATCAATCTATCATCTACCATCTATCTAATGAGATTACCTATAGTGATCAGTTAGAGAGTGTTTAGCACGGATATAAGTGATGTTGATCACTTGCGAAATGGGGATATTGATACTCAGGATAAAAACTGTCACTTAACCAAGTGCTTAGCATGTGCTGGACAACTTTCTAAGCGTTTTCCATATAGTAACTCATTAAACCTATAAGCTGGGTTTAATATTAACCATATTTTATAGTTGAGGAAACTGAGGCACAGAGTTCAAATGACTTGCCCAAATCACATAGCTAATAAGTGGTGGAGTGGAATTTTAACCTGGTGTGGTTCACCCAACACATATTGCCACACAGATTGTTGACTATGTGTCAGGCACGATCATAGGTCCTGGAAGCACAAGAGTGAACACAACAAACTCCCTGATCTCCCAGGCTGGGGTTCTCGGGGTCCTAGAATACTATATCCCCTAAGCACTCAGCGCAGTGCTTGGCACAAGACAAAGCCTCAGTGAACATTAGCTCTGCTTCTCCTCTTACCCCTCTCTTTCCCGGGGCAGACATCACCAATTGACCACAGCCTTCTTTCCCACAGAGCCCACTTAGGGCCCCCAAACCTGTCTCAAGACAGCACTTCCTCAGGTTTGCACGGAGAGCAAACCCATGTCGGCTCTGCGTAACCATGCTCTAGGGAAACAAATGGATGCTTCTGACCCCAAAGCCCGTGGTGTCCCCCACCTGGGAGGGAGCCGCAAGGTTAGGAGACAGGCGTGGGGAAGGCTTGTACGGGAAAGAGCTGAGAAGCTGAGATTAGCCAGGGAGGTGGGGAGAAAAAGAAATGCCAACAGCACCTCAACCCTCTTGCTCTTGGCCCGGAGCTCTCCAGAGAGGATGAGCAGGGTGACCGGGAGTGGGGTCTGCTCAGGGTCTGGCCGTCCCCATGCAGCCCTGGTCCCTAGGGCCACTGAGTAGGGCTGATAATCCTGCTAGGCCCAGGGCTTCAGAGGCTGGCATTAGGCCGGGGGAAGGGAGAGGGGGCAAGGCAAAGGGCAAGCAAGCCCCCCGCCCCTCCCCCACCCACCCCACGGATCTGGAATCTGTTGCCTGCCACAGAGCCCGCCCACTGCCCGGGGCAGTGCCTTCCCACCCCTGCAGAAAGCCCCGCTGCAATGCCTGCTTTATGGTCTCTGCCAAATGAAGCACAAACTTAACTACATCACCCCCCCGACAGGACAGGAGAGAGGGTTGGGGGTGGCACACTGGGCTGCTTCAGCCCCCTAATCTAATCACTGGCGTGGGTCATTTCAATTACGGACACCAGAGTGTGGTGGGGGGCCTGGCTGCTCATAAAAGGCTCCATGCTGTTGCTCAGCTAATTATGAAGCTCTTATTGTCTCAGCAGGTAAATAACTCAGGACTGAAAGGTTCGGGCTGCTGAGATGGAGTGTGAGCCAGGGAACAGGACGGGGAGATGCCTGTGATGAGCCCCAGGGCACAGATGGGGTTGCAGGGGGGGAGGCACAGCCATCCTGGAGGGAACAGGGCAACTGGGTCTCTGCCCTGGGATGATTATCCAACATCCAGGAATTGGTGGAGGAATTCCTTACCTTAAACACAAGACCTGAAGTTTACTAGAAGCCTCAGAGCCACGCTATAAGATAAAAATTTTAGGTCCACCTCCTTTTGCTAATCTCTCCTTTCTATGTATATTTAGATCCTTGAGAAGTGAGCACCGCCCCCCTCCCCCCCCTCCGCCCTGGGAGCCAGGGGTCATACCATGCTGCCTGTCCCCAGGGCTGGAGCTGTGGTTGCTTTGGTTTGCTTCCTGGTCTGACCTGTCCAGGCTCAAAGCTGGACCCCAGAGGCTGGCTGGGTCCTCAAGATGTAAGGGTGAGGGGCTCAGCTTCCTTGACCACAACAGCTCCTCCCCTCTAGGACAGGCAGGGAGGCAGAGGGGGACCTCTCGAGAGGGGAGCGAGACCCTCCACCACCTAGTCATTGGCCGCACACGAGGCCCCACAGGCACCAGAGACCACGGCAGCAGTGCTTAGAAGTTATTCTGAGATGTAATGACGTATAAAATGGAGGGCTGCCTGTCTAGCCCAGGGCTGTGCTTCGCTAAGTCTTTATTTTAGACGTCAGTGAAGTCCCCAGAACTGGAGCTGTGATTTCTTGGTGAGTTCCCAAACTACCTTAGCTTCTGGGAAACAGCAGATGGTCGGAGCATTCACAGCTGGGAGAATCCCATTTTTGCTCTGTTCCTCAGTTTCCTTCCTCTATGAAACAGGAATCGTGAAACTTATAAACATTTGGAGGAGCCGAGCTAAAGCTGCTCTGTAAATAAGGGCTGCAGGCACCCTCTCTTCCTCGCACCGCACGGGGACTCTGTGCCCCTGATGTTTGTTAATGTTGGCCTTGCTTCGGGTCGCAGAGCTGAGCCTGGGGCTTCAAATGAATCCCTGGCCGCCGCGTTCAGATCAGGGGCACTTGGAGCTTAGGCAGAGGTGGTCCACCCTGGGGCCCAGCTTAGCGGCCAGGCTTCACTCCTCTTAGAGGCAGATATAAAGAACCTGGAGATGTTCTCCAGGGAGGCAGCGAAAGTGGGCTACACAGCAAGTGGAACGGGAAGGGCCTTGGGCAGCCCCCCCACCCAAAGCCCCCAGGAGAAGGCACGGGATGGCTTTAGTCCTTGGCCTGTGGATCCTGGAATAAAGGCACTTGTGGGGAGAACCAGAGCCCATACCTGGATTCTGATAGAGGTAGTGGAAGAAGCAACACTTCAGACTAGAACCCCGTCTGTTGATAGCAGGCAGGTCTTATTTTTATTTGGTGACGTATTATCTACTTTTCAAAGTACTGTTAAATACATTGCTTTGTTCTGATCCTCAAAGTTCTGTGATTTGGTAGAGTAAGTATGAGCAACCCCAATGCCAAACAGGGTAACTGAAGCTCTGAGACATTAAGCTCAGGGTCCCCTGGCTAGACAGTGATGGAGCCAGGACCCAAACCAGGTGCTTTCTCCAAGGACAGCTGGAGAGGAAGGAGACTCCGCAAGGGGGAGTTCATGGCAGGCCTTTTCACCTTTAATAACCAAGGAAGTGAAGAGAGCTCTAGGGATCAACGTAGAGGCTCACGGAGCAGGTGGAGACAGAGGAGGCCAGGAGTAGAACGGAGGAAGTGAGGAGGGAAACAGGTGGAGGGTTGCATGGACACTTCCTGTTCACAAACTTCTTATGTTCCTCATTTCATTAACAGCAGCAGTGGAATTTCATGGACAATTGGCGTTGAGCACTAACTGGGAGGTAATGAGAGCGGGAGGATGCAGGTAAAGGCTGTTTGAATTTAAATTCTTTTTCTTTAGGGGGATGGGGGGTGCAGGTTTTTTTAAAGGCAATTTTAGCGCTGCAGAAAGTTCCTAGCAAACAGCTTTGGACTTTTGTGTCCTCTGCCAGTAGAATTAGGAGTGCTGGTTCTCGCTCAGCCTACCGTGGTCTACACAGCAAGCTCCCGATGGCTACCCTGACAGAGGGCAGAGCGACGCCGAAGCACCGGGAGTCTGACCTCGGGTAGACTCTCCCCTCAGACCTGGGAAGACACACGACACCTGCGTCCAACAGCAGCAGTGAGCTGGGACGAGCGGTTCTACAACAGCAGCTGCAGGGGTGCGGCGAGCAAAACTCTGTGCGGACCTGGGCAGAGACGGCGGAGGAGCCAAAACAGAAAACAGGGGGACTCCTCTAGGAGTATGTGGTCTGTGTGACAAGTGATGCACACACACACACACACACACAGGAGGCCATAAAACGTTCAAAGAGGGAAGCTTATAGAATAAGGTAAAACTAAAGCTAGAGAGAGGGGACAGAGACATGGGATGATCGGGTGAAGAAGGTGGGGGAAGGCTGTTTTGAGCAGGGTCCTTAGACGGAGTGGCACACAGATTTGGTGACACAAAAGAATATGTGAGCTAGCTGGAGAGCCTGGGACGGAATGGCAAGCAGGTGAGCTGGCCTAGACGAAGCCTCCGTAAAAAGAAGCAATGGGAAATGAAGAAAGTCAAAATAAGAGGAAGGAAAATGTGTGGGAGACTTGAACTCTAACCTTTGAGTTCAGGTGACGGGGCCATGGGAACTGCCGTAAGGTAAGCCAGTCAGTACAGGTTCGGCCCCTGGAGAGTAAGAGCCAGAAGCTGATGAGTTACCCGAGTGCCCGGGGATCAGGGCTCTTCTGTCTTAACAAGCGTCTGTGGGCATAGATGGGAAGCTATGGGGCCACTGGGACTGTGATGGTTAGTTTTGTGTGTGAACTTGGCTGGGCCAAAGGATCCAGATATTTGGTCAAACATTATTCTAGATGCTTCTGTGAAGGTATTTTTTACACGAGATTAGCATTTAAATCAGTAGACTTCGGGAAGACAGATCCCCTCCAGAATGTGGGTGGGCCTCATCTAATCAGTTGAAAGCCTCAAGAGTAAAACACTGGCTTCCTGGAAGAAGCGAGAATTCTGCCAGCAGACACCCCCACCTCTGCTTTGGACTCAAACTGTAACTATTCCCTGGGTCCCCGCCCACCTGCAGATTTTGGACTGGCCAAGCGTCCACAGTCATGCAAGTAGTCTGGGCTGAATTGTGTTACCCACCCCAAATTCATGTGGAAATCCTAACCCCCAGTGCCCCAGAATGCGTATCCAGAGTAGGGCCTTTAAAGAGGTGATTCAGGTTAAATGAGGTTGTTAATGTGGGCCCTAATCCAATAGAGTTGGTGTCCGTATAAGAGGAGGAATCGGACACAGATATGGACGTGCGCAGAGGGAAGGCCACGTGAGGATGCAGGGACCAGTCAGCCAGTTGTGGGCCAAGGACAGAGGCCGCCGAAGAAACCAACCCTGCTGACACCTTGATCTCAGACTTCCAGCCTCCAGAGCAGTGAGAAAAGACATTTCTGTTTAAGCCTCAGAGTCTGTGGTGTTTTGTTACAGCGGCCCTAGCTGACGAATACAGGACAGTGGATTATAATCTCCTGGAACCCTAGGTTCATGCATGAAGCCTGGCCCCCAGCTCGGTGCCTTACACATGGTGTGTGCTGACCAGGTGTTGTGTTGACTGGGTCTGAGACGTCGGCTCCCGGCTTCCCTCCAGCAGTGATACAGTGCAGGGGAAGAGGCGCTCAAGGGAGACAGTGGGAACTAGAGCTTCAGGACACGGATGAGGTGCGAATCTTGCATTCTGCTCTGTACAAGGTTGACCTTGGGAATCAAGTCAAGGGAAGAAGGATCTGTGACGGACGTATTTTGTATTCTCTGGTGTGCCCAACGTAACACCTAGAACTTAATTGACACTCAGTAAACATTCTGAATGGCTGACTGAATGACCTGGGGGGTGAAATGATCTTTCATTTGAAAAAACAACCCTCCAAACACACATGTATGTGATGTACCTAGAAAGGCTCTGAAAGAGATTGCTAATGGTGCTCACTCTGGGGGAGTGACGTGGAATAAGAAGGCAGGCTTCCTTTGCACTGTATACCCTGAGATGTCCGGGCATTTTCATCATGAATGCCTAATCCTGGGTCATTCAGTACCTCCTCCGGTGTGAGTACCTGCACTGAAGGCCAAGAGGCAACAAGGGGTGAGGAGCTTTTTAACCCACGTGCCCCTTCCGCACGGCCCACAAAACCCTCCAGCCTGCCCCAAGTGCTGAGAGAGCAGCAGCTTCGGGGCTCACGAGCTGCCCCACAGTGCCCAGAGGGAGCACAGGGTGACGGTATAGAGGCCCAGCATGACGGCGTAGGCTTGAAAGAGCAGTCGGTCAAAACGTTCCAGGAGGGCCAGCCACTTAACCCCCTGCCGGTCCGCCTGCTCCCAGGTTTGGAAGTAGGTGCTGATGGACTTAAGCTGGAACCAGACTTCCTTCAGGCTCCCTGGCTGCACCTGGTGCTCTCGACAGATCAGGGGCTCTGCATGAGAGAGGAAAACATCCTGGGTGAGCTGGGGGCTCCCGAGGCCCCCTGGGCTTCCTACTGGAGGCGATGGCCTCATCCTACAACGAAGGTTTGTAGGCAGAACAGGGCAGGGGATTGGGTTGGGCTTGGGGGGAGGTAGGGCTGTGCTCAGGGGAGCTCGGCGGAATGTGGCAGAGCCGGGTCGTGCGGGAAGCCTGTCTAGGTTAGAGCCACCCAGATTTTCTGAGCTGGGGGCCGGCCCCACTAACTCCATCGGAGCTTTAGGGGCTGGGATGATTATTTTTGTTTAATTGTGATATGATTTACATATTATATGTCTCATGTGTATAGCATTATATATATCTATAATATTATATATTATATATATATATAATATATATATATATTATATAATATTATATATATTATATATAATCTATCTATCTATCTATCTCACCAGAGTAAGTCTGGTTAACCTCCACCACCACACAGTTACACATTGTTTTCTTGTGATGAGAACTTTTAGGATATACTTCTTTAGCAACTTTCAAGTGTACAGTAAAAATACAGAACGCTTCACAAATTTGCCTCTCATCCTTGAGCAGAGGCCACGCTAACCTCTGTATTGTTCCAATTTGGGTATATGTGCTGCCAAGGCGAGCACTGGGATAATTCATACACTTGCTCACATTAAGCAGCAGGAACCCAAATACATACAAGCCAGCGTGCACACACACCAGCACTCTATTATTCCAGAGGCAGTCGCTTGGTCACTTCAGCTAACTGGCTAAAATTGGAAAATACAAACAAAAATAAGCAAAGTCAACTGAGGGCCTGACCTCTAAGCTCAGGTGAGGCTTTCTGGAAGGTCAGCAGGTCTCCAGATAGGTAATACCAAACGCAGCACAGAGGCTAAGAAGCAAGTATTTCAAATTTTTCGCACAGCTGGACGCATGGCCTGGTGCTCCACCAATGGGAACCGGTGCGGAGAGTGATCAGGCAAGACAGGGTGCGGACCTCGAGGCTTCTCACAAACCTGGTATCCCAGCAAGCTGGGCTCTGGGATCCATTCTAGGCCCATCAGCATCAGTGTCCCCTCGAAGGCACAAGAGGGGCCACTCCTGCCCATGGCTCCACTCATCATGGAGGAATCTGACCAGCAGGATGGACTTAAATAAGCTGATAACCAGGAAGGCCATGCAGACCGTGAAGAAGACTCCTGAGGGAAGGAACCAGAGGACGTGTGCTTAGCCACAGTGTCTGGGGCCTCTCCCTCGCCTGATCTGAAATGCAACATCAGATCTGTGACAGGAGTCATGGAAGATGGGTGCCTGGTGTCCCCAAGGCTGCTTACCAATCAGAGGGGTACTCAGTGTGCTCCTTGGCATCTCGTCGGACATGTTGACCCTGAAGACGGTGTAGCCCACCAGCACGCTGCTCTTGAACACAATCCTGATACGGCAGGTGGGTGGTAGGTAGAAGCTCCCCAGATCCACAAGCATTAGGAAGATGCTGGGAATCAGCAGGCTCACAACATAGACCAGCGGACGCCTGCGAATCACCACCTGCCCAGGGACAAGGCATCTACTGAAAAGAAGGTCTGTGCTGAAGGACTAGAACCCATAGCCAAGAACATTCCCTGACGTCCCAACATTTTTGCATAATGTGAAAAGACTATGTAGTTTAGAAAAAGGAGATTATTTTGTGGTTTAGAAAATAGAAAAAAAACCCTTTAAGCTTTTATGTGGAACTAAATTACTAATTATAATAAGAAGTGTCTATTTATTTGCCGCTTGCTGTATGCCAGGCACTAGCCTAAGTGTCTTCTGTGCCCTGTCCTGCTCAATCCTCATACCCATTCAAAGGACTGGTCATTATTATCTCCATTCTACAGACAAAGAAACTGAGGTTCACAGAGATTGAACTGCTTGTTCAAACTCACACAGCTGGGGGCGCCTGGGTGGCTCAGTCATTAAGCCTCTGCCTTCGGCTCAGGTCATGATCCCAGGGTCCTGGGATCGAGCCCCGCATCGGGCTCCCTGCTCAGCGGGGAGGCTGCTCCTCCCTCTCCCACTCCCCCTGCTTGTGTTCCCTCTCTTGCTGTGTCTCTCTCTGTCAAATAAATAAATAAAATCTTAAAAAAAAAACCAACCAAACAAACAAACAAACAAAAACCTCACCCAGCTGGCAAGTGAGAAACTGTGTTAAATCGAGGTCTTACACCAAAATCTTTCTTCTTACGTCACTTCTACAACATATTGTACTGTTTTCGGCATAGCCTGTCCTCTGTGGAACATGAGCGTCTCAGCACCTGTGTGTCCGTCAGAGTCTGGGCACGACCAAATGGCACCCCTGGGACCTCTGAGGAGGGCTTGGCAAAGAGACGGCTGACAAGGTATGGGCAGGCAGAGGGCAGTGCCCAGGTATTTGGGATGGCTGGGTGAGCTGTCCCTACCCTGGGTCCTAAAGGGGCCTCGGGCTGGGAATGTGACTAGAATCTGAGGAGAGAAAGCTGGGTGGAGGTGGCCACCACACTGTGGCTTCCCCCTCCCTCTTCGGGGCACAGCCAGCCTGGTGGTGATTCCATAGGGAGAAAAATGGACAGATAAGCATCTGACTCACTCTTCCCCTCTCTCCAACCTCCTGCCATTCCGTCCCCTCTTCCCATCGGTCAGTGGGGCCATGGCTCATCTCCAGGAGCACAGAGCAGGTGGAGAAGTGGATCTAAGTGGGGGGACAGCCGAAGATGTCCAGCAGGATGGCCGGGCATACAGAGCTGCTGAATGGGTTTTGTAGCTGGGAATTGGAGACTAAAAAATTGCTGTTATTGCCATTTTTGTACACCTCTCTTGTCTGGGATGGTGACAGGAAGTATCTTTAATAAACACAAACTATTTTCATCAGAATGACAGGATTCCTCCCCCCCCCCCCCCCCCCCCCCGCCGACCCTTGGAGGGCAAAAGCAGCAACGATTAAACAATTCCTCATGGGGTGGGGGCGGGGGGCGCCTGGGGGCTCAGTTGGTTCAGCGTCTGCCTTCGGCTCAGGTCCTGATCCCGGGGTCCTGGGATCGAGCCCCACATTGGGCTCCCTGCTCCGCAGGAAGCCTACTTCTCCCTCTCCCACTCCCCCTGCTTGGGTTTCCTCTCTCGCTGTGTGTCTCTGTCAAATAAATAATTAAAATCTTTAAAGAAAAATTCCTCATGGGGCCAAAAATAATACCTACCTTATTCATGTTTATTGAATATATGAATGTCCTGAGCCCTTCACTGTTGGATCTGGACATAAAATAATGGTCTGAAGTCTCCCATTTCTCTGATCCACCAAACAACTGAATGCTTTCTATGTGTCAGATAACATGTGAGATGCTTTTACACATATGATGTGGTTTATTTAATTCTCACTGCGAGCTTGTTGGCAGGTAATAGAACACCCCCACTCTAGACTCTTAAAAACAAAGCACGGCTCCTGAAGTAAGTTGAGTAAGTGGAAGAGCTGGGCTGTGCCCCACATCTGGTTCCAAGCCCAGTGTCCCTTCCGCCACAGTGTAGCTACAACTCTTGGTCTGAGCAGACATCCAAGCTGAGTTCAGGGTTCTTCTCCCTCATCTCTGTCTCCCACTCCACAAGGCAAGCACACAGAAGGAGCCCAGGCAGAGGCCAGGGATGGAGGAGAAGGGGGTGGGGAAGAGCTTGGCTGGGTGAGACCAGACATCTACCACCCTGCAGAAGCAAACGGGGCCCCCAGCTGTTGGATCTGGGAGCATATCCCAACCCAGTGGAGCTTGGGAGGCCAGAGCCAATGGGAGGACTGTAGTCTGGCTATTATCTTTCACATTGAGCATAATTGGCTGCAAATATCTAAACAAGGGCAACACTCATGCTTTGTAATAATTTGGTTAAAACACATTTCTACCACAGCGTAGTCAACAAGAAAAGCAACAACCAAACGGACTGTCACCACTCTGGGCCTCGCGGCTGTCTTGGTCATACTATGGAAGAGATGGCTGTGGTTAGCAGGGGATGGGAGGAAGGGAGCTGGATGGTTGGGGTCCACAGGGGTCTTGTGCGGTGCGCCCTGCCTGGGCTATGTGGAGTGGGGGTGGGGGGTGATCAGCCTGCTCTCTCTAGAAGGGAGAAGTGGGAAGACTCCCCTAGAGACTTCATGGCAGGTATGATGTGAAGAGGATGAAAAGCGTTAAGAACACCACCCTAAAGAAAGCCCAAGTAGGCAGGGTGGTTAAGCAGAAACAGCCCAAACTTAGAGTCATGGGATGTTGGGATAGGGTGAATGCATTTTGCACATGTGATGGACATGAATTTTGGGGAGCCAGAGGGCCAGAGGGCAGTGGACTATAATGGGCTGAGTAATGGCCCAACAAATACAGTTGACTTGCCCAGTAACACACAGTAGATGAGCTCCAGGGCCCCTCAATTCTAAGTGCCCACGTGTGCTAGTTTAAGTGATCCTAGCTGCATGCCTTGATTTTCCTTTTTTAAAAAAGCACTTTACTGGGGAGCCTGGATGGTGTAGTCAGTTGAGTGTCTAATCCTTGGTTTTGGCTCAGGTCTTGATCTCAGGGTCATGGAATCAGGCCCCATGTTAAGCTCTATGCTGGGCGTGGGGTCTGCTGGGGATTCTCTCTCTTCCTCTCCCTCTGCCCCTCCACTCTCTCTCCCTCAAAATAAATAAATAAACCTTTTTAAAAGACTAATAAATAAATAAATAAGCACCTTACTTTTGCTTCCTGAGCATCTTGGCTATGATTGAGATTGGCTGTCGTATCTAAATAACATTGCCGTGTCACTAGCAGATGCTTAGGTGGTTCCTCTCTACCCAGAGGCTGATGCAGAGAGTGAACATAACCCTGGGCCAGAACCAAAGATGGCTCCCCAGTTTCATCAGACCACGTGCCCCCCAAGGTGACGGGGGAGAGGTGTGACGAGCCAAGAGGCTGGGAGGCAGGCTGGCTTCGTGGGCATACAGCTTGGGAAGTTAGGCAGGGCCCGGCGCTTAGAAGGGCCTGGTGCTTGATTTCAGGCTCTGCTGGTGCCATTTGGAAACTCATAATTTTTGAACAGGGAGCCCCACATTTCCCTTTGTCCCTGGCCTCACCAACCATGTAGCCAGGCTGTCAGGAGGATCTTTGTCCCTGGATATCAACAGTAGCTGAAAGTAGAAGGGAAACATGTAGCCCCAAGGGTAGACAATTAGCTCTGCTGTCACATAAAGCAGAAATCTCCCCTGCCTATGTTTGGCTTATACAATTATACAGTCAGATAGGCCCTCTCTTTGGTTTTCTTCAAGAAAAAAGGACTCCCTTTTTATTTAGGAGCAATATTGATTTCGGAGCAGTATTACTTATGGACTAGACTAATTTCCTCCACAAGCCCAGCGCAGCCTAAAGAAATTCAACATTTTATCACATAGCTTTCAGAAATGGTTTGTTTTCGTATCTCGTTTGATCCTCAAATCCCTTTATTCTCTTGTTTAAGGAACATTAATTGAGCATGAACAGAACGTCAGGCACTTTTTAAAATAATGGAATTAGAACAGTTAATAGGATAGGTTTCTGCCCCTCTTCATCCCATGAAATCAGCAACTGGACTCTGGTGGTTGGATGCTTTAGAGTCTGCATGTAGAAAGGAAGTTTGCTCCAGAATGGACCATACCCAGAGTCTGTACCTGATTTAGATGATGAGACTTGGGACCTTCTGAGTTTATATTTAGATTATATTTTGGTCTAGAGTTGGTGCTGAAATGGGTTAAGACATTTAGGGATGTTGGGATAGGGTGAATGCATTTTGCACATGTGATGGACATGAATTTTGGGGAGCCAGAGGGCCAGAGGGCAGTGGACTATAATGGGCTGAGTAATGGCCCAAGAATTAATGTCCTTCCTGAAAGCCAAGAATGTGACTTATTTGGAAATGGGATCACCACAGATATAATTAATTGGTTCAGATGAGGTCTTACCTCAGTAGGGTGGGCCCTTATCCCAATAGAACTGGTGTCCTTAGAGAAGAAGAGAAGAGATCCATAAAGGAGAATGCCACGTGAGGATGGAGGCAGAGATTGGAGTGATACATTTACAGGCCAAGGAATGCTGGGAGCCACCAAAAGCTAGGAGAGAGGCCTGGAACACATTCTCCCTCGGAGTCCCCAGAAGGAACTAATCACGCTGACACCCTGATTTTTGGCCTCCAGAACTGTGAGAGAATACATTCATTCCTGTTGTTTTAAGCCACTGGTTTGTGGTCCTTTGTTATGGAAGCCCTAGGAAACAAATACAGTTGACTTGCCCAGTAACACACAGTAGATGAAGGCCAAAGAACGCACTGGCATATGCTGTGTTCTGTTGAGTTGGGTGGCAGTTGTGAGGTACATAGAGGATTAGCACATAGTTTCTGGAGTCAGACCGTCGGGGTTCAAGTCCGGGCGCCACAGTCACCCTGTCCCCTCGGGCCAGTTACTTAGACTTGGGTGAGTTAACTTCTCTGTACGCCCAATTCATCCATTTGGGTGTGTTGCACTCAGAGCACCAATTGCATAGACATGTGAGGTTTACACGTACAAACTCGTAGGTGGTGTCTGGTGTCGAGTAAATGCTCACTTCTGTGGTTACTGTTACAGTGTCTCCCTGGGCCACATTTGAGGGCCATAACGGATACCAGGAGCCCTCTTTTACTCATGCTTGTGTCCTCGGTGGGGCCACTGTGACGGGCACGTGAACAGAGCTCAAAAGGTGTTCGCTGAGTTGTACTGGAGTCTATGAGTGATGCTGCTTTTAGTTCCAATAAGGCGGGAGTGTGGCGTTAGCCCAAACGGGGGCTCTCCTGGTGAGGTCAGTCCTCTGAGGGCCACCTCTCTGCAGGTCATGCCGGGGACAGTAACTGACTGCTGATGCTGGGGAGGAAGGTATGTCACCAGGTCAGTGAGACACCGTTCTCCGTGGAACTGGCCCTACCGAGAGCCCATCATTTCTAATGGACTAAAGGAGCTGGTGCCTTTAAATTCCAGAGAAAGGGAAGAAAAAGCACTTTAGTTTCAGTCCGTGTTCTCCATTAGACACCCTTCAGGTGTTAGCAATATTATGCCACAATTTCATTATCCATTAAAGCCAGGTAATAATAAGTACACAAAGGTATTTGGAGCCTATTGATGTTAATGAAAGAGATCAATCTAATTCAGAATGTGTGCGTGGAGAGCTCCTTGGAGATGGAATAGGCCCAAGGTCAGCCTCTAATCGCCTCCTTGATGGTAGACCCCACCAGTACTCAATTTTGCATGACCGTCTTTATGACATAGTTGGAATTTTTGACGCCCAGACTCACGCTTCATACAGAAGCCCATCTTCCTCCTCTCCCAAGCCCCTCCCAACATTCCCAATTCAGAAAGAACGGGAAAGTTCTTGCCATCTAAGTAAGATTCTTGCACAGGAGTGAGAGTTTCTTGGATCTGGACCCTGGGTCAGGCTGGATGAGCAGAAAGTCCATGATTCCAGGGATAATTGAGTGACCCTGGAAAGATTTCTAGGACTCTAAATTCTCTTTCTTCTCTCTCTCTCGATCTGGTGGAGCTCAGAAAGATCTTCTGTCAAGTTTATGAGCTGCATTCAATGGATATCTCCACAAAACTACTCTACCCTAATCTAGACAGGAAAACTATGTCAGAGAAGGAGGATAGATGAGGCACCCTTCTTTCTCAAATGGCCCTCTGCATTTTCCCAGGAGTCCCCCTGGACGGCCGCCACCTCCTGCCTGCACGGACATCTCGCTCCGCGTGAGGATATCTGAGGGTTGGGCTCACTTTAGCTCCTACAGCTGTCCACCCTCTTCCATTAAAATGAATTCTCACATTTTACTCCCACCTCCTCCCACTTCTACCCTCATTATTAAAAAACCCAAAAAACCAAAAAGCTGCCATATAGAAATCAAATGCTCACCCTGCTGTTTCTGGGAACCAGCACCTCCGATAATGTAGTGGAGGTAAGCTCCCCTCCTAAGGCTGCTGGATCGGAGCCAGGCTGCACACACACATCCCTGTAGGCCGAAGGGCCTGTGCTCTGGGCCCCCTGTGGAATGCAGCCTGACTCCAGAGTGTTAGCAGTGCCCTCTGATAAACAGTACATGTCCCGGAGCCAGCAGATCTGATTGCCCATTAGCCAGAACCAACAAGGCATCCTGAGCATTGGATTTAGTATCAATGGCAACATTGTACATCAGGCCCAGAGTGGCAACATGTTTAGAACAGATCATTTTTCCTCCTGCCTGCCCAGACTTGTCTCCAAGCCCCTGCTGGGCAGCCTGGACAGGGCTATAGCACATGATTAGATTAAGAGGGAGATGGCCCTTTGCTGTCAGGACCCTAGTAGACCCAAGGTTGGCATGGAACCGGGCTCTGAATTTCACATCATTGCCCAAGGGCTATTGAAGGACACCAGGACACCTCAGTTGTTAACTTCAGAGTAGGATGACTGATACAGAGTAAGAGAACGTAAGCCTAGCCACGGTACACATAGCAGGGGTGGGGAGGCACGGCGGCCGCGAGATGTCGAGGGAGACAGAGAACTGGGATAGTCACTGAATCTACTTTAAGTCTGTTCAGAGTTGTAGAACTGTTGCTGAGTCTGGCTCCCTGCCCTATGAAACATGATCTATGACTCTACTCAGGGTTCTTTCCTCCTTTGTTCCAGAGGGCCAGGGTGGAAGCCAGCCCTGCAAAGGGAAAAGCTCCAAAAGCATGAAATCCTGCCGATGCCCACCTCTAGCCTGCCTCCATGCACGCACTGTAAATGGAGAAGCATGGCAACAAACAGAGCAGAGGAGTGGGATCGTTGCTCCTGAGATGCAGGGAAGCTTCTCCTTTCCTTAAACAATCTTTTACATCTCTGTCCATTATATTTAAAATGGAGCTACTACATAGAAAACCTTTTGCGGCTATTGAGAAGACAAATTAATATTCAGGGTAAGGGGTGACATGTAACCACAGATAATCCCTGCTTTATGGAAAGTGTGTGTGTGCGCGCGCACGCGCGTGCACCCCCGTTCATCTGCCCTGTCTCTTGCCTTTGTTTGTCTCCTTCATGCAGTGTAGGTAATGGTGTGTGCAGCGTTCTCCGGAGTGCTTGGTGGGTGACTGTGTTCCACCTTGCACGTGCTACCCCCTCACATTTCCCTTTAATGCTCTCCATTATTCGGGCTGCATTAATAATGTTTGTGGGCTGATATCTTTAAAATTAATGAGGTGTTTACTCTTAGCCAAGAAACTCATTGAAATTAAAAAAGCTTTCTTTTCATCCCCTCCTTTTCTCTTGCTTAAAAAAAGGTAGACAAACAAGCCACAGTGCTAGCTTTGCTAAAAACCAAGCAGCACAAGGAAACACCCAAACCCCACCACTAGGAAGGTATGAGTTGCGAATAGTTAGTTATACATGTGTCAGGTTCAAACCACAGCTATTTCTAGGAGCCCCTAATTTAACCAGAGCTTTGCTAGAAAGCTACATAGAACACCTACAAACAATGGAGGGGCATCTGTGACCTCAATGATAGCTTATTTCAATACCACCCTCTCTTAGCATATAATTATCCAGCATAACCATAGTACCTAGTCTAGTCTGAATTTTCCTTCTTATTCAAAAGGTTTGTTTCCAGCAGAATTCATCTTGTGTTTAATCCTGACCTGTCTGTAGGCTCTATTTTTCAATCGGAAACATTATCTGGCATGAAGGACTCCACCCCACCCAACTACCACTACCACTAGCTGACTTGGTACAGAAAAGCAGAAATGAATACTAATCATGGGTCTACCAGTTGCAGGAACTTGCTGCAAACCACTTATCAGGACAATTTGCCAGAAAGGCCAGGAAGGGAGAATGGCTCCCTCTGGAGTGTAAACCAGCAGGCTTCACTGTCCTGCATCCACCTCCCAAGCTCCTGCGGAACACATTTCCCCATGACAGGGCAGCCAAGAGCATCCCTGGTGGTGCCTCTGAGAAGTCTGGCTTCTCACTCCGTTGTTTTAGAGCAGTTCTCTCTGATCCAGAAACCCCCAGTAGGCTCCAAGGGCCCTGCAGGTGATTTGTTAGCTAATTGCTCAAGATAGTCAAGCGAATAATGATACTTTTATACATTTGCATCTGGAATTAATAATTGACTCACTTAAAAACAGGGCAGTAATGTTGTAGAGACACTTCTCCCAATTTTTTGTTGTTGTCGTATGTGGGTTTTCTTTTTTTGCCCTCCCCGTAGCAATTAGGAATGAGGATGTTAGTATGTACCGAAAGGCTTGAGGACACCTGCTACGGTGGGTGGTTCAGGTGCCTGAAAAACATTCTTTTTATACCCACATAGGGGCTATCGACAGCAGAAGTCCAGGACCTGTGACTAAATCTCTGGTCTGTGAAATGCCATCATGCAAGAGGATGTCCGGAGCCACCAGAGTCATCTGTTCTTGGATGATAACGAGTGAGAACATGCGACAGAGCAGAGAACTCCTCAGCCCAACACAGAAGGCCCAAGACTGCAGAGAAGTGGGGCAGCAGGGACAGGGAGGGGTAGGACCTACATTAAACTGAATCTGGGCAAAATCTCCAGCGCTGCTCTGCAGGATGCTGTACGTTGAGGACACAGAGAGAAGTTCCCACTCACTGTCGTTCAAAAATTCCTTCTTGTCATGCTTAATGTCTTCTCTGCTCCTGAGGAAGGCCAGGTTGACATCTTGCACTGAAAACAACATGAACGAGTGACTTCCCCACAGAGGGAGGCCTCGATAATAACCCACTTTTCCAACTTCCAGTTCTTCCTTTTACCCCTGCCCCCACGTGTACAGCCTCAATGAGATGGGGTTCAATATAACCATTTTGAATGAGGGATAGAGATGTGGAATAAAATCTTTCTAGCAGCAAAAACAAAAACAAGAACAAACCCAGTTGTGAATTTACGGTTTGTATTCCATTATCCATAGAAGGCTGGCCCTGGTCCTATGACTTCTCTAACCTTCTTAGTGGCAGCAGAGGTCGAATATTGTATTCCCAAACCAACTGCAGCAATGAGCTGGGCACAACACTATACTTAGTCTGAATTACAACAGGAGCCAAATAACTATGAGAAGAGATTTAGATTTGTAAAGAGTCAATTATGTGCAAGAATAAAATGCACCCGACGGATGGCACGACAGAATCTCACCTGTGTGTGCCAACCCAGCACAAATGTGTCTCCCACTAGCAGACCATGCCTCTTGCGGTTTACCTGTGTGCAGGACACTACTGAAGGTCAGGCTGCAGTTCTGGATGTCAAATGGAAACGTGTAGGTCTCTAAACCGCATGTAGAGACCACCTGGATAGGCTTAGAGTTCTTAATGGTCCCAGATGAGTTCACATAGACATACGGAAGGTTGGGTGATCCTTCAATGTCCACACTATGGAAACACAAGAGACCTCGCTGTTACAGAGAGGGCCTTCGTCATTTCAGTCCACAAACAGAACTGATTATGAGGCGGTAGTGATCATGATAGCCAGGACTTGCCTAGAAGTGCAAATACAGAATCACATTTCCCATGACATAATTCAGATGGACTCAGTAATCACAGTCTCAAAAGTTAATTCACTTTTCTACTCTTGTAACACAGACATAATCCATGAGTAACCTCAAGCATTTGTAATCAAATCTGTATCTTAAATGATGTCAAATCATGGTACTTCTAACTTGGATATTCCCAACACCGTGATCCTTTTCAAGCTGAGAAACAAAAAAATAGCAACAATGACCAAAAGTAAGAACAACTGGCCTGAATAGTCCAAGCAGTTTTAAACCCCATGGAAATACACGCCAGCACACTTACAGCTCATTAATGATGATGTCAGGGGCCCAGATGTCACTTAGAGGAAGAGAGATCTCTCTAATCTCATCAAACATGCTGGGGGTCCAGGATAAAAACTCATCATCCCAAACCTGTTAGGAGTAGCCAGAAAAGAAATTTATCAAAAAGGGGCAATGTCAGTCTCACCAAAGAACTGAAGAGGGATTTGGATGAATAACCCAACTGATCTGCTTGTTGGCACTGTTAGGGGAGAGGACTTTCCTCCCAGCTCCTAAAGATGGTGCCCCAACCAGAAACCATGACCGTATATCTTACATAGATTCTAATAAATTAGGTCTGTTGCAGATCTAAGAAGCTAAGTTGCAAACACAAAGAAAATGTCTATTCCTTAGAATAATTATATTTTGCAACCGATTAAGATCAAGAGTCCAGCATGCACGGAAGGAGACATCATTTACCTCATGGTACCATATACTTGTCTTTAATTTTTGGTTCTGTGCATCCTGCAAAGCAAAAAGAAAATCTGTACCAAATCTTAGAATGTCAATAAATCAAAATCCAATTCAATACTATGATAATTCAGAGAAAAAAATCAAATCTAGCTACAAATGCAGATTTTAAAAGCATTGCCTTGACTCTTCAAATCTGAGTATTCTTGGTTCCTGTTTATTACTCATGCCTGGCACTATGAACTTCACTATAGTATCTATGACAAAATGGCACTATGACTACACCTGACATCTTGAATGATTTGCTAATCCCTTTCCTACCCTAATTAGTTACTCTGCCATTAATCAAACTAAAAAATGACATGTAGCCTTAGCCAATTCTGGGATAAAAAGATGGGACCAAGCTTTTATTTATTTTTTTTAAGATTTTATTTATTTAGAGAGAGACACAGCGAGAGAGGAAACACAAGCAGGGGGCAGGGGGTGGGAGAGGGAGAAGCAGGCTTCCCGCGGAGCAGGGAGCCCGATGTGGGGCTTGATCTCAGGATCTCGGGATCATGACCTGAGCCAAAGGCAGACGCTTAATCAACTGAGCCACCCAGGTGCCCCCCCAAGCTTTTATTTGTAATCAAGATATTATTCATAATATTTCAATGAGTGTTCTCTCAACTGCTCCTGGCAGCCATTCCTGTTAAGTTACCTTATGTTTGGATTTCTCTGCTTATCAAACAGACTGAATGAGCTTAATGTAAATGAAGTGTATTTTTGATGATATAAATAGACGAGATTTCCCCATGTCTGCGATGAGTAATTTTTTTAAAAGACCCCTAAGAATAACAAACAAAAAAGGAACCCCCTCCTTACTAATTTTTTCATATCTCCTCTTAGTAAAGAGCATTCTGAAACTACTATCTTCTTAGGAATTGAAAGGAATATCTCACACCATATACAAACGTTAACTCATTAACTCAAAATGGACCATAAACCTAAATGTGAGAGTTTAAACTGTAAAACTCTTAGAAGAAAACATAAGAGGGGTGCCTGGGTGGCTCAGTCAGTTGGGCAGCTGACTCTTGGTTTCGGCTCAGGTCATGATCTCGGGGTCTTGGGACAGAGCCCTGTGCCAGGCTCCGCACTCAGTAGGGAGTCTGTTTGAGATTCTCTCCCTCTCCCTCTGCCCCTCCCCCCACTCATGTGTGCACACTCTCTCTGTCTCAAATAAATAAATAAATAAATAAATAAATAAATAAATAAATATTTTTTTAAAAGGGGAAGAAAACAAAGTAAATCTTCATGACTTTGAATTAGGCAATTGTCCTTTAGATATGACACCATAACCACCGGCAACCAAAGAAAAAGTAAATGGGACTTCATCAAAATGAAAAACTTTTGTGCTTTAAAGGACATCATCAAGAAGTAAAAAAACAACCCAACAGAATGGAAATAATATCTGCAGATCATTTATCTGATAAGGAGTTAATATCCAGAATAAGGAATTTCTACAAATTAAAGCAAAATAATGACCCTATTTCAAAATGGATATTTCTCCAAAGTAGATATACAAATGGATAATAAGCACATGAAAAGATGCTCAACATCACTGCTATGGACCAAATTATGTCCTTCCAAAATTCATACATGACTAAATTTAGACTTTGAAGGACTTTGAAGAGGTAACTAAGGTTAAATGAGGGCACCATCTACTAGGATTGATGGCCTTAGAAGAAGAGGAAGGGAGAATGATCTCTCTCTCTTCCATATGGGTATACAGGAAGAAATCAGCCATCTGCATGCCAGGAAGAGAGCTCTCACTAGGAATCTAATTGGCTAGAACTTTGATCTTGGACTTGCCAGCCTCTAGAACTGTGAGAAATAGAGTCTATGGTATTTGTTATGGCAGTCCAAGCTGGCTAATACAATCACTAATCATTAGGGAAATGCAAATCAAAACCACAGTGAAATACCACTTCACTCTCATTAAGATGGCTACTAAAACAAAACAAAACAAAACAAAACAAAATCAAACAAAAGCAGAAAATAAGTGTTGGTGAAGATGTAAAGAAATTGAAATGCTTGTGCACTACTGGTGGGAATATAAAATGGTACAGCTGCTATGGAAAACAGTGGCAGTTCCTAAAAACTTAAAAATAGAATTACCATATGGTCTAGCAATTCCATTCTTTGGTATAAATCCAAAAGAACTGAAAGCAGAGAATCAGTTATTTGTACACCCATGTTCAGAGCACCATTATTCACAATAGCCAAGGGGTGGAAGCAACCCAAGTGTCCATCAAAGATGAATACATAAGCAAAATGTGGTATATACATACAACGTAATATTATGCAGGCTTAAAAGGGAAAGAAATTCTGACACATGCTACAACATGAATTAACCTTGAGGTGACACCACTTCCTTCCAAGTTTTACCAGCTGAGAGATTCTGAAATAGATAATGTTTTTAAAACCAGCATTTTTTAGTTAGATTTGATTTTCTTCCTCTGAACTGTCATGCTGTTGAAGGGGCTTTGATTTACTGACAATGTAAGATGTGGTGTCTGTCTCCCCGACTAAAGCTCAAAGGGCTCGGTTCTAGGCTTAGCTGCCATCGATGAGGGTTCCCCACAAATGGGGGGGAAACCAGGTTCAAAATGCCATTTGTATTACTGGAAAACATAGCTTGTAACTATTCTTTCACAACAAATATACTTTTACATCTATGAAATGTCCTGATCGGTTTTTTTGTTTTTTGTTTTTTGTTTTTTAATCTCTATCACGCCAAGTCGTGAATGCATCACTGACTCAGTCATGGTGGGGGAGACTATTATTTTACCCAGTTGATTCTTATTAACTGCCATGTTGATGCCTTAGCTCGTTTTTCTCTTCCTGCCCATTGCTTTGTCATGTTACATGTAACAAGTGTTAAGAATTTTTTTCTAGTATATTAGGGGGTTCTGGGAGGATTTGTCATTCAGCCCTAAAGAACACAATGTCAAAAAGGAGTTTGAGGCTAAAACTGAAATCTTTTTTTTTTTTGTCAAAGGAAACAAGTTTTTCAATGCCAGCTGGTGAACATAATTGGTTCTCTGATGGCATTATTCACAGCTTTTCCCTCTGTGTATCTCTCTCTCTCTCTCTTTTTTCTTTAGATACCTTCCATCTTGCTTGTTAAAAGCAAAGGATATTTCAGAGAATTGGAATTCATTAGTCTTCCTAACAGAGGGAGTCTATTTAGATCTAAATTGGTGGTTAGCAAATATACAGATAATTCCCGCACATTCTTATTTATCTTTCCCAGTTCCGAAGACTATAGAAACAGATGCCTCAACGTCTGGCTGGGAGGCTCTAGTCAATGGACTGGAATACAAAGGTATCTGGGATTCGGAATTGACAAAATTCAATAGAAACAAATTGAAACTCTTCACTGTTGAGTAGACTACCTCTATAATCAGATTTCCCTAAGGTACTCATAATACCCAGAAATTCTAAGACAAGACTGTAGTCTTTCATATAAACAAAACAGGAGGCAAAACATTATAATGGAAGCGAGGTGCCGTGGTGAAAGAAGGGCTGAAAGCTCCTCCCTCCAGAAAAAAGTTGCTGGCAGATGCACCCAATAAGTTATCTGTTCACACTGGGGGTACCCTTGTCCCATTCTGTGCACGATTTTATCAAGTCCTTCAAAACCAGCCCTACCTCCACAATGAACTTTGGGCTTAGCCCTGCTGAATGTACTAGAGACGTTTGCAAGGCATATTAGACTATCCTAATCAATTAATTGCTTGACAGATATCTAGTCAGTGTCTTTGAACTAAGATACGCTGCACTGCAGATTGTGGGAAATATGAACATGAGTAAGCAAGCCCTTCCCTCAAGCAGCTTATTAATAAATTAGGGTATGGGACATTTTAACAAATAACTCTGTTTGTTAAGAAATATATAGACTTCAGTGGATTTAAAGAAAGGAGACATGGTTGTCAGCTTGCAGACTTGAGGGAAATCTCTTTTGGGGACTGAGATTTGAAGGACTGTAATATTTTGCAGATGGAGAATGAAGACAAAGACATTCCGTGGAGGAAACAGCATACAGGCAGGAGACAACAAGGGGTTGGTTTCATTGTAGTATTGAGGGGATAAGGCTAAGGCAGCAGACAGGGATAAAACTAGAGGGATGGAATTTGAGATTTTTCCAGATTTCTGAAGGAAAGTCTGCCAAATTCAATAAGACAGTATTACCGTCTAACGTATTCTAGTTAAAAAATTGTATATTCCACGCCAGTGGAGAAAACATATCTTTGAAAAAATAATGGTGTTCTCCTTAACTACTGTAAGGAGACTGGTTTTATTTTCTTTTATCAGGATAGAAAGAAAGAGATAAAAAAATATCAATTTGATATAGTTGTTCTAAGGGGAAAATATTAACATAGAAACTTTGCTCCTTTTCGATATTTATCTCCAAATAGTCCTCAAGAGGAAAGCCTGAGCAATTCTACTTTATCTTAATCAATATGAAGTAGAAAGTGGCAGGATGAGGATAGACCTGAAGGTAGTCTTATTCCCTTACTCAAAGTTGATCATATGCATGTCCTGGGGTTTTACATGATACGGCTCATATCATGTGTCTTTATTCAAATCATGCTATTCCCATTATACAATGTCTGATAAACAATGCAGTCATAATAACCCACTGACAACTAGCAAGGACTAATATTCCCTAAGTATGTGAAGATATAGCCCCAGGAAATTAACTCTCAAAAATTTTAGTTCAATATCCAAATACAGAGGAAATTGAAGGGAGATCTGTTGAAGCTTATGTAGGACCAGGCCTTTGGAGTAGGGGTGGATATTTCCTGGCATTTAATTAAATATTTTCTAGGATCTTAGATCTAGTACTTTTGCAAAAACAGATTTTTTGTGTATCACTTAAGTGTTCCTGTTTACAAAGAAATAATGATTAGGGATTTATCTGAGCTGGAGGAAAGTGATGTTAAAATAATTTGTGGGGCGCCTGGGTGGCTCAGTCGGTTAAGCCGCTGGCCCTTGATTTCGGCTCAGGT